GTCCAAATCCAAATTAAGAAACAATCAAATTTCTCCTCTAAATGCTGAATTCAGGTTTTGAAATGGAAAAAAATTATTAATTTATTAAAATATATATTAAGCCATGATTCTTATTTATTTAGGGGAGATAGAGAAGGGGAGATATGAAGAGAGAGTCCAATAAAGGAGTGAAAGTGAGAAAAATCATCCCTGGGAACTTAAAAAAATCTGTTAGGAACATTTAACCCCTATGTGGAATGAAATTTGGACAGCAGAGCGTTTTCCCAGAATCTTCCTTTTTATTATTCACAAACAGAAAAAAAGTTCTTTTGACTAAGTTCTACAAAGGCCCTCATCCACCTAAATGCCAGTGCCTTGTTGAATACAGAATATTCTAGTAAACTGCAAGAAATGTACTAGCATCCTTCTGGCATGTCCTGCGAACAATGAATCATTGTCCCTTAAATCAAGGTGTCCTCACACCTTGAATAGTTCCTGTCTCAGACCATCAAAGTCAAATGCTCTTTTATTGTTGTTCAGCCAAGAATTTATGAATTTCAGTGGGCCATCAACAAACATCAACAAACCAATGCTTTCTATTACTTCAAATGTTAAATTCTCCTCTATTGAGAATATCCTACTTGGTGAAAAGACATAAAAAAAAAGTCTGTAGGGGGGTGAGGGAAAGCTTATGCAACAGTCTGAGATGCCTGAACTTCAAATTCTGGAAAATTAAAGTTCTCTTTTCATCCTTCTTTTCATTCTCTTTCAGTTAATACCTATATCTAAACGTGAAATAATATGGCTTGAACTAAAAACACAATAGAAGGGCTCAATAACAGAATGACAAACTCTGAAGAGCAAATTAAATTAGTGAACTCAAGAATATGTTTTAAGAAACAGGCAAAAAGAATAGAAAAAAAGAACTTTTTGTACGAAGAAAACATAAGAGATTTATGGAGCAGCATTATGAAAAGCAACATTTAATTCACATCTTAAGAGATTTTAGAAATATAAAAACAATTATTGGTTGAAGAAATTAATGTAGAAATTTTCCTAGCCTAATGAAAGAAATATATATTCTGATCCAGAAAGCTCCAAGCATTGCATACAAAATAAACTGCAAAAAATACCAAGACTATTGTAAATAAAATGGCAGGAATAAAGATAGAGCTAGAATCCTATAAGTAAAAAACAAAGGCTCGCATATAAGGAAAAACTTACAGGAGATCTATTAACTGAAATTTTTAGATCAGAAGGGAATGGTATGATTTATCCAAAGTGTTGAATGAAAGATCTCCAACCAAGAATACTCTGACTAGGTTAATACTAATCTTCAAAGAAGAGATAAAAAATTTTTTTTAGCATTGGGAAGGTAGTTTAGTTGCAGCATGCATGCTTTGAATATAGAAGATCTGGATTCAGTCTCTAGCACTGCAAAAAAAAAATAAAGGTTCAAACAAATAGCAATTAAAGTAATTAATAGTCACTAAACTGACTATGCAAGAAATACTAAATATTTTTCTATGAAAAACAAATAAATTCCACTCAGAAGTAGGAGAACACTTAATAAACCAAAAGCAAGATGTGAGAAAGGACATTAATAATAGTGTCCCAAGAATAAAACTGCTTTACTTGTTTTATTTTTTGTTTTTGTGTTTTGGGCCATACTCACTCTGTTCAGGACTTGCTCTTAGCTCTGAACTCAGGGATTGCTCCTGGTGAGACTCAGGGGGCCATGGGGGGCTGAGAATCAAATCTAGATAGGCTGCGTGCAAAGCAAATGGAACTTGATCACTACACAACAAGAAGATATCAAAGTTTATAGAAGTAAAACAAAAAAAAACAAAAACAAAATGCAAGAATACTCAAAATCCGTTTAGAAAAATTGCAAAATAATTCTATTCTGCTACTTAAAGAAAGTTCTCAATGATAAATGCACACTCAAAGAATTAAAATGGAAAACAGGCAAATCCCAAGCTGGAAAATGGTAGGGATGACCATTTTTATGGTAGACAAAATAGATTTCAAACTGGAAAAAAGGTATTAAGGGACAGAGATGAATAATAGTAGTATAATATAAAGGATGAATTCATCAAAAGGACTTAACACATATTAACATATGCTCCAAATCAAGAGGCACCAAAGTTTATAAAGTAACTACTAATAGATCTGAAGAGCACATCAACAACAGCATAGTAGTAGAGAGATTTTAAAATTCTCACTACTAGACAGATCAACCAGACAGAAAATCAATAAGGAAACAACAATCTTAAATGAGAAGCAAGTATAACTGATTGTGGGCCTGGAAATGGGAACAGCAGTTAGGGAATATGCTAGTATGTGCTTCAGCTGTGTTCAATTTGGGGCACAGTAGAGTCCACTGAAACTTACCAGGTACAGTCCTGAAGACCTCCCAAAGCAGCCCTGCCTGTGTCTTGGCCACCTTGAGTACCACCAGGGTGATTCATGTATCTCTGGCATTGCAGGGCCCAATAGCATGGAATCCTCAGGCCCTTCCACTGCATCATTTCCTGCTTGGCTGAGAATCACTGGTGGGACCCCTGGAACTCATTAACGTTCTCAAAAAGTTAAGCAAGGGCTGGAGAAATAGTACAGTGGATAGGGCGTTTGCCTTGCATGCGTCTGACCCGGGTTTAATCCCTGGCATCCTACATGGTCCCCTGAGAACCACCAAGAGTAAATCCTGTGTGCAAAGTCAGGAGGAACCTCTGAGCATCACCTGGTGTGACCCCAAAAAAGCAAACCAAAAAACCCCCCCAAAAACACCAGTTTGATTTCTATTATAGCAGTACTCCTACATTTATTTTTTAAAAATTTAGGCAAAATTACCATCTGAGGGCTGGAGAGATAGCACAGCGGGTAGGGCATTTGCCTTGCACGCAGCCAACCCGGATTCAATTCCCAGCATCCCATATAGTCGCCTGAGCACCACCAGGAATAATTCCTGAGTGCAGAGCCAGGAGTAGGCCCTATGCATCACTGGGTGTGACCCAAAAAGAAAAAAAAATTACGATGTGAAGTATCTAGCAAGTTCTCTCCTAGAGGTATGTGCGCATACAAGCAGGTCACACAAAAACTTTACAATGTTCAAGGCAATGCTGGTCACAAGATTCAAAAGGTAGGTATGGCTCAGATAAATAAGTATATGTGTCATATCCCTTAGGTAGAAAACTATTCAGCCATAGAAATGAATGATATGCTACATAGAAATGAATGATACATGCTACAATATTGAGAGAGACTGATCCGGAAAACATCATGCAACGTGAAATACATATACTAGATATATACTAGGTCACATATTGCATATTTCCATTTATATTAAATTCCAGAAAAGAAAAATCCATAGATAGAGAAAGACTTTTTTTGTGGTTGCTAAGGGCTGGTAGAAGAGGAAGGACTGCTTTACTGGCACCAGGTTTTTCTTTGGAGGGTAGTGACTCAAATATTTTGGAACTTGATAGGAGTTATAGTTGTACAACATTGTGAATGTCCTAAATGTCACTGAATTGTACATTTTTAAATGATTCACTTTATGTTATGGCTATTTTATCTCCATCCTGTGACTTAGAATATACAATGGCCATTGATAGGGATTTTTTTTATAAAACGTAAATTTTACTGACATATTTTCAGCATCTTTATTCAATGATAATCAGATTAGAAACCAAAATTTAAGACTGGAAAAAAGAATGTTACAGAATTTTGAAAGTACAAAAGAGAATGAAGAAATAAATGAGTAAATGAAGAGTAAATGAAGCCAGGAGAGAATAGGGGTCAGAGAAACAAAAAAAGAAAGAAGAGAAAGAACTGACGTGAAATGAGAAAAAAATATGAGGGGTGCAGTAGTTGGAACTCTGTTTCCAACATTTCAAAAGCCTACTAAAAAGTCTGCTTTCAGGGTGCTGTGGAAGTGGGGGAAGGTGTAGGAAGGAGTATAGGTGTTTTTTGATATTCAGTCCCATCAATAATCAAAGGATGGGGGGGGGGCGGGGGGGGGCGGGGGGATCCTGAAGGATAGAACAGGAAGTTAGTCGCTTGACTTGCACAAAGCAGACAGGTTAGAACCCCCGGCACCCTATATTGTTGCCCATCCCTCATACTGTCAGGGTTCACTTCTGTATCCAGAGCTAGGAATAGCCTCTCAGCGTCTAGAGTGTGACTAAAACCCTACCACCATTTCCCCACCCAAAGCCAAAGAGGAAATTTTGCCATTGATGTCACCTTTTTCTGTTACTGAGAAACCCCTCCCCACCCCGCCCAAAGGCCTTGATTATGCAATGAGATGTTTATTCCTAGCATCATTACCGCCAGTTTGGTTGTATGACACCGGAGGAAGGCAGAGAAAGGAGAGCAACCAGTCCCTGAGTCAGCTCTGTGTATTACGGGGCCTTCGTCAGCCGTGGCACGGTTTGCTCACAAAAACAAAACTTGGCTAATTTCATAGAAAGAAAATGTAATGGATTGCTGCTTTCAATTGCATGCCTTCAGCTACTACTGACTTAAGCTTTGGCAGGGGCACTTCATTCTTTTCCCTTGCGTTTCTCTTCTGCTCTTTAGCCCTTGGCTTCTTTGAGATGCTCATCCATTTGAATAAAAATGTGGATCACGCTTTCACATCCCAACATCCCCCACCCCCACCTCCCTCTGGTCCTTTATCTCCTTATTTTGATTACGGGGTGCTGAGGGGGTGGGGGCAGGGAGAGAACACGTCTGCCGTTGCTTTTCCTTCCCGGAGTCCACCCGATTGCGTTCTGCCCACCCTAGAATAACCAAGTATAATAAGGCAGGGCAGATTAATTTTTCTAACGGTGAGCAGTGTTCACTTCGGGCAAACCGTCTCTGCAAACTTTGGTCTGCAGTGGCCACTAGGTTTTGCCAAGAGTCCCGCCGACGGGGGTGGGTCACGCCGTCCGCTCCCAGGGGTCCGGGGCTTCCCGGGCCCTCCCCGCCGCCGCCCGCCCGCCCGCGCCCGGGGACGCGCGCCCGTGCCCGGCCCCCGCCCGCGCCGCCGCGCCGCCCGGGAGCTGCCTGCGGTCACCGTGCGCCCGGGTGCCCGCCGCTGGGCAGAGAGGAGCGCGCGAGCCGGGCGGCCAGCCCGACCCGGCGCCCCGGGCTGGAAACTTCCGCGGGCGCCCAGCCGGGGCTCTGGCGCAGGGCCGGGACGGGAAAGGTAAGCAGGGGACCCCGGGGGCACCCCGGCTGCCGCCTGCCCGGAGCTGTCTGGCACCCCCACGCTCGGCGGCGCTGGGGGGGAAATTGACCCGCAAGGCTTCTGCCTCGGGGTCGGTGCCAGCTTCTCGCCGACGCGTGCCCCGCAGCCCGGGGGTCGCAGGGGCGCCGCACCCCGCGCTTGGAGGCTTAAGAGTCCCCCTAAGGGCCGTGCGTCTGCCGTGGAGTATCCCAGTGGAAACGGTACCCCTGGCTTTTCTCGGGGCTCCACTTTGACCCAGGCTCCCAGAGCCCCAAGAAAAGGCCGTTTCTCCTCAGTGTAGGGGGAACCCGGTGCCAGGGGCCCTGAAGTCTTGGTCTTAGCCAGGACTTTGCTGGCCGCAGAGGGCCCAGTCTGCCGCGATGGACCAACGCCTTTCGGGTCAGGCGAGAAAGCTGACCAGTTCTTTCTGTCTGGGGAATCCCAGTCCCCTTCCCCTGCCCCCCTTCCAAAAGGAGGAAGGAAAGAGAAGAGCAAAAGAAAGAAATTAGGAGCCCGATCAAATGACCTCAGCACCAAGGTCGACTACAGAGGTATAGTTTAAAGGATCTGAATTTTTGGTTAAAAAAAAATTAAAGGTACACAATCAAAATACATTCACGGGGCTATGACGAAAAAAGAAGAAATGAAAGATTTTTTTTGTTGTTTTAGCCAGGAGACATTTGCAAAGGGTGAAAAGTTCTATCTAAATAATGAATGGAAAAGTGGACTGAGAAACTTACTTTTGCACATAAATTGATTTAAAACTTCTATAATGGGACTGTCTCTTTCCCAACTTCTCCACTCTAAATCTTGTAGGAAGGTGTTTTGAATCTGCAAGCCTGCACCTTGCAATCAAGTTTTATGGCAGCCTAAAAAAACTTACAACTACTTGTTATATTAAAAGTTTCTGTGTTCTGGTATTTTCAATCTCCAAAACAATCTCCAATACTTTTCTGGTATTTTCAATCTGCCTGAATATAACAGATGTGACAATACATACTGTCCCCTGCTGTAATTGTACATATTTTGGTATTATTTTTTATTGCAATAGAAAACCAAAGTATGATAGAACGTATAATTAAAAGAAAACTGTCTTCTAGAGCTCTTGTCTAAGAAACTGTGTTGGTCTCTTAAAATGTTTGGGATTCAGATATTGATTGAAATCTAGAGTAGGACATTATCTGTCATAAATATTTTACACATTTGATCCTGGAGACTTCTGATAGTCAAATTTCTTTAATGTTACTAATGTCTCAGAATAGCTGAATCACTGTGCATTCTGTGCTTGTAAATGGTGACATTCTGTGCTACTAAATAAAAAATGGGCCATGAGAGACCAAAATCCTATACTTCTTACCACATGAGTAATAGCATTGACACGGGAGCAACTAGGCCTCTGCTTGTTTTGAAACGGTCTCCAAGAAAGATGAGGAATGGTTCTGAAGCATTTGCTGCTGTGAATTGAGTGGGACAAGTTTTAAGCAACACAGCAGGCAAGAAGTTTCAAAACTGCTTTGGAAAATATTTGTGATTTGCCAGTCAGCAAATGGCAGGTGAATCATTGTCTCTAATTCTGCTTGTTGATCAGCTGGGATGATGGGCATTAGAGAATAAGAATTTGCTTGCAGTTCATGGAAGAGTAGCTTACATTCTTTGGGTTTTTGAAAGGGAAAAGGAAAATGTTTTCCCTTTTATCATTATAAACAATGTGAAAGTCACCATAGGTATTTGTTAAATTGCTAATTTCTAAGTTAAGTAAATAATCACAAGTTGCTCACTTAAAGTTCCTGTAACAGTGCTGGGGTCTCTTCCAACTCACAGACCTGAAATGAGATCTCATTTATGTATTCTTCAACAGAAATAATAATAAACTCTCATGAGTTGCTCACAAGTTTTGAAATTGGGGTTAAGTTCCAGAGGGACAGCAACTGCCCGAGCCTAGGGATGGTTCTGGGTGTCCCTGAGTCTCATTCCACCACAATGCTGCCTTACTAGCAGGTCAATGAGTTAACCCCAAGGTAGGTCAGTTCATGTAAGCTGGTGCCTGGGACAGAGTCAGAACACAGCTAGACTTAGTATTCCCCAAGAAAGATGTGTGCTTGCTCAACAAACTGTAGAATGAATAGTAGGTTGTAGTTCTTGCTTTTCATTTCAAAAGCTTCAAAAGCAAAACCTTGATAACTGTCGAATCTGGGCTATGGGCATATGATAATTGTTTATCTTTTATGTATAATTATATCTGTAATTACATATAGTTTCTCTGTTCTTTGTGTTTAAAATCATAAAAAAAATTATGTGAGCCTAAAATATGAAGGAAATATTTTAAATCCTGTGCCTTGTTTTCATTTGCATTACGGGGTTGCACTAAGGAGTTGGGTCATAATTGATTGTGCTCATGGCTTCCTCTTGACTCTGTGCTCCAGGATCACTCTTGGTAATGCTTAGGGGAACCACAAGTTGTGCCAGAGATTTGAACCAGAATCTTTCTTTTGCAAAGCAAGTTCCTTAACCACTGTATATCTCTTTGACTCTTGCATTTAAAAAAATCATTCAATATGGTCTCAAAGGATAAACATATATAGAGTGTATTGAGAATAATCTGCAGTGATATTTCATTTTAATGAAGTTTTATTACAAAATATATTTCAAAATATAACAGTCTTGATGATTGTTAATTCTACTGGGGAGTTTCATAGATTTTTAATCTGTTCTTTGAAATCACATTTAAATTTTTCAAATTTCATCTTATTTTATAAAATCATTATAAAATATTTAGATAGTACAGACATATACAAAGAAAAAGGTAAAAATATCTTTCCACTGTCTAAAAAGGAAAACTTCTTAGCATTAAGTGAAGATAATTCCTTAAGTCTTTCTTTGCATTTACACAAGTAGAAGAATGTAGAACATTAGTATGTGATGTGCTGCTATGTGACTTAGATAAAGTTTGGGTATTTCTTATTTTTGTTTGTGATCATTAGCAGTTGTTCTAAAAAATAAGCTAGTTTGCTTTATTTTTTGACGGGGGCAAAGGGCCACCCCAGAGGTGCTCAGGGGCCTCCACGGCTATATGTGGCAATGGTTGGGAGACCACGGAAGCCAGAACTGAACCCAGGTCAGGGACAAACTGGGCATGCATCCAAGCCACTGTACTATCTTCAGTCTGCATTCTTATTTTTAAGATTTTAAACTATTAAAGTATATTGTTTCTTTTTTAGTTGTAGTATTAAGAAACCAACTTTCAATGACTATCAAGTAACAAAAGTTTATTTTCCTAAGAAATGTATTTTTATCTACTTAAAGTAATGCCGTATTTTGAAACTGGCCTTAAATAGTGCCAACATTTGAACATCGCTGAAGTGCAAGCTTCGTGAAGGGAGGAATTTATTGTATTATTGTGTCTATTAATTTAAATATTGAACATTTGAAATTTAACCATGCAGTTACACTATTATGCTTATTTTGAAAGTGTTATTCCAATTCAATTTATGTATTAGGGAACAGTTTGAGCTTAATTCACAATTAGCATTTGCCTATTCAGTCAGAAACACCAGGTGAATGCATTAAACTGCCTCTAGTTGATCTGGGCTACATAGGAATACACAAAATGCAAATACACATTTTAAATATTCACCAAGTACCTTGGCTCACTGCACATTATCCTGCAATGTTGTGTTTTACTGGGCCAGAGAGAGAGAGAGAGAGTATTGTGGATGAGGCCCTTGCCTTGCACATGGCCGACACAAGTTCAATCCTCAGCACTGCACGAAGTTCCTTGAGCCCCACTAGGAGTGATCCCTGAGTACAGAGTTAGAAGTAAACCCTGTGCATCACCAGGTATGGCCCCCAAACAAAAGATTGTGTTTTGTTTTTTTTTCCACACTTATTGAATTTCTCTAAATGAAAACCTACTAATTCAGTCTCCCAAGCATGCCCCATCGTTTTGACTGAAAAAAAAAAAGCCAAATAGTGCATGCAAAAGAATAGCTTTAATATGAAGAGAAACTTGAATTAACCAAATATTTGAAAGAGTCTTTATGGTGTTTTCTGAGCAGCAGGAATAAGGGAACAATCTAAAACATGGGTCATGATAGGCAACACCACAAAAATGAAGGAAACTAAATGGCTGGAATAGTTTCAGCTACAGCAAAATCAATAGCAGCAATGCTGAAAGAAAGTGAAAAGATGAGAAGATTGTTGAGCATGTGAACTGGGAACCAAATAGTAAACAAGCTTTTCTTCCAAAGAGAAAATTTTATCTCTATGTGAACACCTTGAAAGGAAATCAATCATCTTGAAAGGAATAGTCACAGCCTGCTAAAGTGTTCCTTTGAGCAGGAGTAGTGGTGGTTTTGTTTAGTGGCTTCAAACACTGCTGGCTATTGTCTATATGTTAATTGAACAGGAAGTAAATGGGAAAGGTTATAGCCAAATAGAAGGCACAAGTGAATTTAGAAGATGTTTTCCAGGATTATACTCTAACTTAAGTAAATACAGAAAAACTAAGTTCATTTGCCTTGTTTGGTCATTTGGTAAACTTAGTGTATCAAATTTTTATTTACAGTAGGAAGAAACACAGTTTAAAGATCCACAAATCCATCTTCTCCTGCATTTTAATCAGGAATCTCAGATGAGCTTACTGCCTGACATGAGAGCAACTGATCAAAAGTGAATGGCTACCTGTTTGTGCCTTTATCCTTTCCCAGGATCTGGAGAAGTCAGGACTAGAAGCCCAGTATGGGGATTATGTATCTAAAGCAGGGGTGAGGAACATAAAGCAATCAAACTGCAAGTTTAAGAAAGTAGTTTCCAGGGCTGGGGCGAAAGTACAGCGGGGAGGGCGTTTGCTTTGCACGCAGCCAACCTGGGTTCAATCCCCGGCATCCCATATGGCTCCCCGAGCACCTCCAGGAGTAACCCTTGAGCATCACCAGGTGTTCCCCCCCTCCAAAAAAAAAAAAGGTTTCCTTGAGAAAGAA